CCAAAAAAGAGACCCCTGAAAAAAAAAAAAAAAAAAAAAAAAAAAAAAAAAAAAAGAGGTTTATTTAATCCCAGATTTCAGGTGAAAGTATGACGATGGTGTTAGCTTGGCTCTAGCGATATCCTCATGGTAGGTGACAATTCAATGGTAGGAACATGGGCAGGGAAGAGCAAGAAGGGAGTAGGCCACACAGGAAACTGAGGAACAGATAGGAACCAGTCATTACCTTACAGTAAGCTCTACTGTAGATGACAGCTAGGGATGCTTTATATACATATTCTAAATTGTAAGAGCATATTTATATGTCTTTGGAAGAAAAATGTACATATATCCATCTACTGGTTTGTTCTGAGTTAACCTGCAATCTTGATGTCTCAGGATGAATGCAAGACTTTGTAGCCTTGGTGTAAGTGAACACCCCTGTATCTCACACACAGAGAATGAAGGAAAAGCAGAACTATTCAAGCCCAACCACTGAGTGAGACCAGACTGGATTTTGGAGTGATCAATTGATTGCTTTTGTTTCCCCTTCCCATATGATCAGCCTTGGGGAAGCCAGACTTGGAGAATGATAGTCCTTTGGTTTATTTTATTTTATTTTATGTGTATAACTCGTGTGTGTGTGTGTGTGTGTGTGTGTGTGTGTGTGTGTGTGTGTGTGTGTCTGTACCATGTATATGTGTGCAATTCCCCAGAAGTTACAAGAGGACATCTGAACCCCTGGAACTGGAGTTACAGATGGTTGGGAGCTGCCATGTGGGCTCTGGGAACCAAACCCAGGTCCTCTGCAAGAGCAGAATGTACTCTTTACTGCTAAGCCATCTTTCCAGCCCCAAGATCCATTTCTGGTCTCTTCATTGGCATCTGTAAGTGTCCAGCAACAATAAGCTCTGAATTCAGCTATATGGATTACCTTAACTACCTCTGAAAGGTCTGCCATATGCCAGTATCACACTTATGACCAAGAGCCTAAGAAGTGCATCTGAGACAAACCCAGCACATTGATACCCCAAAGTTCCCAACCGTTCTTCCAAGGGGTTTTTAATCATTCCTGGTCTCTACTTGGGGCCTCTGCCTCCCAACATTCTCAGGTTGTCAGTTTTGTTTGTTTGTTTGTTTGTTTGTTTGTTTTAAGTTCAGGGCTGGGGAGAGTGTTCATTGGGTCAAAACACTTATAGTGCAAGCCTGAGTACCTGAGTTTGAATCCCAGAACCATGTAATGCCAGGCTCAGTAGCTCACATCTGTAAGTCCAGTGCTGCTATGGCAGAAACAGGACAATGCATGGGCCAGTTCACATGTTATAAGAGACCCTTTTTCAAACAAGGTAGAAGGCAAGGATGGACACCCAAGATTGTCCTCTGACCTTCAGAGTGTTTCGTGGCACACACACACACACACACACACACACACACACAAATAATATCTTAATTAAAAAATTGTGTTTTGAGGGCTGGGGTAGAAGGTCAGGCCTTGAAATCAACCCATAGTCCTTCACACAACTAGGTGTGGGTGTGAGGGGTGTGTGGCTAAGTAGCCTGGCTACATAGCAAGACTTGGTCTCAAAAGGATAAAGAGCAATTAAATACATGTACAGTGTTGTTTCTTTTATGTAGCTAGATAAATATCCACAGGCTTGGTGGACACCAAGGATGGACCTCTTTCCTTGTGTCCTAAACACTTAAGAGCCAGTATAAAGTCCATTTTGTAATGTCAATCCAAGCAGTGGCCCCTCTGGTCATTGTTTACTCTTTGCCTTGAGAGTGCTTCGGTTTATTAAATTCTCTTTACTGTAACCATCAGTTTAGAGTAAGCACTGCATGTCTCTTTCAGATTAATTTAGTAGAGAGTTCAAGAAGCTGAACAGAGAGCAGAGCAAGACAAACCTGGTGACAGTTCCTATGTCTAAAATGTGATCATTTGAGACAGAAACCCTGTGCTTTGTGGCAGATGGTGGCTCAGGGGAATCCTTGGGGCTGGGGGACCTCTGAAATTTCACCATGTGCCAACCTTACCCTTTCAGTACTGGATACAGAACCTAGAGCTCTTTTTATGCTTAGCAGGCATTCTCCCAGAGTTACACACCTAGCCCCATGCAGGAATTTCTGTCTCCTGGGATTCAGAAACAACAGGCTCAAGGGTGGTGTTTCCATGAGATCAACTTCTTTCTTTCACTGTGTGTTCCAGTTGAGGCTAGAGCTAGAACTGGACATTAGTACACACCCATGATTTCTGTCCTGAGGGAAGGCAGGTGAAAAAGTGGCCAGAACTCCTCCCTCTCAGGAACAGTCACTTGATTTATGGTGGCAAGGTCAGAGCAGTTTCAACCTGGCCTTGCTAGCTTAAAGGGCCATGAGCATTTGTAACAGCAAAGATTTCATCTGAGGCTGGAGAGGGATGGCATCAGGCATTGCTTGGGAATCAACACTTGCTGGTCTGAAAATGACATTTAAAAACTTTTGGCAGGGGGCTGGAGAGATGGCTCAGGGGTTAAGAGCACTGACTGTTCTTCCAGAGGTTCTGAGTTCAATTCCCAGCAATCACATGGTGGCTCACAACCATCTGTAATGGGATCTGGTGCCCTCTTCTGGCATGCACTGTATACATGATAAATAAATCTTTTTTAAATAAAGATTTTATTTGTTTATTATGTATACAACATTCTACTTCCATGTATATCTGCACACCAGAAGAGGGCACCAGATCTTATAATGGATGGTTGTGAGCCACCATGGGGTAGCTGGGAATTGAACTCAGGACCTCTGGAAGAACTCTTAACCTCTGAGCCATCTCTCCAGCCCGATAAATAAATCTAAAAACAAACAAACAAAAAAACCTTTGGCCGTCCTCCATTTCATGTGGTCTTGGGATGGCCACTCCATAAGAACAGAGTGCTGGCTGGTAGACCAAACTTTAGCCTCAGAGAAGCCCAAGCAGAGGCTGTTAGTAAGAGGTATGCACAGAGTGGCAGTTTCCTGGGTCCACAAACAGTAAATATAAAGAAAGGAAAGATTCTAACCACTTTATAGAGCAAAACCATAAAACTCTCTAGAATGTGCAAAGGCCTCTGAACAATAGGAAACAGGCTCACAGTACCTTTCCCGATCAGTACCCTACAGGCGGGAATGGTGGGGCACAGCCTGGCCAAGGGATCAAAGTGAATCTCCTTAGTAACTGGCATGGTTATGCTGCAGCACAGGTTTCAAGTGTCAGGAGTGCTGAAGCAGGCTTGGTGGCACTTGCCTGTAATCCCGGTAGGAAGGGTGAGGCAGGAAGAGTGAATGCTTCAAGCCCAACTGGGGTACAAAGTGAGCTCAAGGCCATCCTTAGCTACATGGTGAGACTGTCTTAAAAGTAAATAAATAAATAAACAACTAAACAAAACTACACCTGAGGCGGGTGGGGTGGCTCAGTAGAACACTTAGGGGGAGACCCTGGATTGAATCTAGCCACAAAACAGACGGACAGACCAACACACTGCATCTGAATCTAATCAGGAAACCTCAGACAAACCCTAACAGAAGGAAATGTTCTGAAGGGTTTGACCTGTTCTCTGCAAAAAGAGCAAGGCTTTAGTGAAAGCTAAGGGGCTGTCACAGTTTAGGAGACTAAAGACATAATTCATAGCATTGTAGAATGAGATCAGAAGTGCAACCCGGAACCCACAGACTTTCCAGGGTGTACAAAAAAATTCAGGAGGCTCTGCAAGGTTGGGTGGGGAAATGCATCATGCTTTCCACAAATCACTAATTGAAATGATATTTCCTTTTTTCTTATTTGATGTTTGCAGCTTTATGAGGAGCTGCTGTTAGAACCAATCAAATGGAAGTTTCCTTAAAAAA